ATATATATATATATATTTATTTTTATCATTTATCAACGCATATGTAGCAATGCTTGCGATAATATGCATTTTTTTAGAGTAAGCCTTCGTAGTAAATGTGTGCTTGGGATTATAAAAATGAAGATAATAGCACTGATAATATATTTTCCGATAGCACTGCTACATATATACGGGAATACCGACAATTGCTAATAAAAGGAGCAGCACGCAATTATGGAATTTTAAACTTTATTTTCTTATTTGAATATGCTCTCAAGATATCAAAGTATAAGAAATATTATTTTCATGTAAAAAATAAAAAAAGGAAGTTTACATTTTTTACGTCTATTGTCTATTTATACGCCTATTTAATTAATAATTGTGCACTTCGGAACAACTAGACTAGCATCCGTTCCGAGCAGGGAATGGAAAGTTACTTTTTAAAAGTAAAGTACTTACATTTACTCGAATAGAAAAAGTAACAAGTTACCGTTACTAGTTACCGATTTTTTAAAATAATCGTTACAATTATCGTTATTTGAGAAAGTAACTTTTCATTAATTTCGTTATTTTTATTACTTTTTTAAAATTGACGACCACCTATTACAGCGGACAGGCCTAGAGGCTTTTTAATCTCAAGCACTATAAATGGTTTTAAATATAAATGGTTTGTGTCCAATCTAGAGATGTAAACAACAGAAAAATCCTAAAATTTTAGGGTAAAAAACTCGGAAAATAATGATTTTTTTTTCTTTCGGTTTTGATAGTTTTTTATTCGGATATTTTCTTGTATTTCATGATTTCGACGCTCTACTATTATTCCAGAATTTAGTTTTGCACCGTAAGATTTCTGTGTAAAAATAGTTACAAAAGTTAAAATATATAGTATATAATGATTAATATCGTATAATGCCGGTGGGTATAAATATATCTTTCCTTTTATTATTTGAATGATATTTTACACTATACTTCAATTTAAAAAATTAAGTAAGTATTTTATATAATTATTAATATAAATAATACTTTACTAGACTAATGGACTGTTTTTGCTGTATATCATGATTGAATAATACATATTCTAAATTTAAATTAGTGAGATAATGTTCATTGAATTTCTAATTACTCTTGAATCAATATTATATTGGAATGTTATCTCAAAATAATTAAAATACAATTAAAATATAAAATAACTAAAATATAGAGTACAATTATAATTAATATGCAACAAAACAATGTCTATTATGCTTATAAAGTATTATCTGTATTAATAACATCACTCATTTAGCTTTTAAATATAAAATATCTGTCGTTCAAAAAATTACATTGAAATAACTATATGTTTTTTCATGAATTCTATGTAATTTCATCAAAAATATCGTTATTTTTTACATCTCTAGTCCAATCGTACAGTGTCCAATCATGTGCAAAATAATGATAAAAGTAAAATTTGTTACCGTTATCAAAAAAAATGTAACTGCGTTACCGTTACAGTTATCAAAGAAAAAAAGTAACGCAGTTATCGATAAGCTTACCAAAAAAATAATTTGTACAAGTAACGAGTTACTTCCATTCCCTGATTCCAAGAAGCTAAATTACACGTCATGTAGTATGTCTGAGTAGTTATGTCTTAGGATGTATGGATCTCGTCAATGTTTATGTGAGCGATAAAACGTAATCTCATCTGCAACGCCGGCCTTAGTCTTCGTATAATACATTCCACCTCATTTTTAGTCATATCACCGACAAACATGTACTTGATATGATATCTGTCACTATTATTAAGGAAAATATAAAAGGATTCATAAAACGATAAACACAACATTAAAAAATAAGATACTCTCAAATTAATTTCTATAGGCTATTCGAATTTGTATCTTTGTATTTAACGTCTTCTGGCGATAGATTAAAAATAAAATAATTTTAAAAAGTTGTTTCCAAATTAAAAAAAAGCTTAGTCGTATATAAAGGATACAATAAATCGCAAATTGAATCCATGTAATTCAACGTAGTTTGAGTGTGATCAACTCGTTCCAGCATTTCGTATAGACAGACTGCGAGTTCGACCACACAGTGCGGTCGCTCCGCATTAAACCTCGCCAAAGTAGGACCGATTAGATGACAGGCGTATATTAACTGTTCCTCGCTGCTTACAACTGGCTGAAGTTTCTCCTTGATAAACCTATAAGGGTTAATTATTTATTATTAATTTATAACAAAATAAGACAAAATAAATATTAAATATAATAAAATTTCTATTTTTAAGTGTCAATTTTGCTTCAATTTTCTTTTATGATATACAAAATTGTATTGTATATATTATACTAATTGTATTATATATTGTACTATATATTATAATTTATATTATTTACAAATATATATTTATAATTAGAACTTTATAATTACATTTATAATTACAACTTACTGAGGCATCGTTGTAATTTGTCCTACACCTGCATGATGCCACACGGAATGCGCCAGTGCAAGCATGTAGCTATACTTGTTTTCTAATAGGCTATTATGCGTAATATTGAAGTTAAACATTTGAAATGGGGTTAAGTTATTGTATTGCCAATTGACTAAGCCGGGACTGCTGATAGTTTCCAATAAACGTTTATGCAATGCTGACCAATAACATTCAGGTAACGCTGCCAGTAATAAACCAACACAATTTATCCATAAATGTATTTCGTCTGATGGCACAACAGTATATCTGTTTGGGGCAGACAATAAAATTATATACAATTAAAATTATACAATTAAAGACAATTAAAGACAATTAAAATTATATAAAATTATGGACAGTTTTTATTGTATTGTTCTAGAACGGTAAAATTGTGCTTCCTGCACATGCAAATTTTAAGATTTTAATTAAGGAAAAATGATACCCTTTAGCGACAACGTCCAGTAGGAAGTTAGCTACTGCATCTGGAGCAACTGGAAGAGCCATGAGTTCGACGCAAGTCACATATAATGCATGCGCTGCTGGATTTGGGAATTCGTTGAATCTCCAATCGGTAGCAGGAAAGTGAGCCGTGCCAGACATTGCTTTAATATACACACACGACTATTAAATTAATAAAATTAATAATTTCTGATATAATTCGTGCATTGCCTTTTATTTAAAAAAAAATTTCAAAATCCATCAAAAAATTTGTGAACGTAAAAATAAATATAGAGTAAAAAATTTAGCATTTTTTTATTATATATTTTAATTTTTAATAAATATATTGTAACTAAACAGAGTTTATTGTTCGTTTAACTTTATTCAAAGTTCTGATTTATTTTCATTCAAAAGAAGTTTTAAGATTATATATAATAAAATAATGATTTGTACATTCTAATTTATAGAAACACAATTGTAATAGCAAAGTAAACATATGAATCGTCATATAATAAAATTTTAGTTGCTTACTTTCTACAATCCTTTGGACCAATCGAATATAATAATCCAACTCTGGTACCCACGAGACTGCATCGTCATTAAAGCGTGTCATATACATTTGATAAGCCTCGGAAAGAGCCCATCCTGGTGCTCTGATTTCCCGTAATGATCCCAAAACAGCGGACACTAATCGACGTTTTAACAACGGACGATCTCGCAACTTCTTTTCGTAATAATGTAATGTATTATAAAGGTATGTAACAGGTCGATCTGAAAATTATAATTGTTCAATCAAACAAGATTTAATCAATTTGTCAAAAAAAATCTACTTTCTCTTTAGGTGCATTTTTATTGAACAAAAAGAGAATATGTTTCAACGCTAAATTTTAAGAATTAATTTGCGTATCTATTTTTATATCATTTTGTATGGAATTAATGATGGATTCATATTCAAAGTCTCGGATTCGATTCCATTTCATCTTATATACGTTTTAATTAATAAGAGTTGGAGAATTAAAAATTTCTTTATAAAAAAATATAAGATTGCGTAATAATAAAATAGTAACTCATTTCAGAAATATATATATATATATATATATATATATATATATATACACACATAAATATATTATATTGCATGATAGAAAAAGATTTTTTTTCTTTTCATCTAGTAAAAATTGATAGTTTTATTAGAAACATACCATGAAATTTGTACAAACAGCCTAAATGTTCCAGTAATATTTCCAAACTCTTGATAACAGGTGGTATCTCCAAATATCGGTGCACTACTATATCAAAAACTGGTAAGAAACGAAGACATACATTCCCGAAGTACACAGGCAAATTTTGATATTGGCTGGGCCCGCCACTAGTTTGCTCCATAATACCTTCCGGTGCAAACTTTTCTGGGAATTTTCTGTGGAAAGCAAGATGCTTCTCATGCCAATTTGATTGTTTCCAATGCTCTGGCGAGTTCTCTTTCACAAACTCTTGTACACGGTTTCTAAATTCAGCCGCTTTCAATAGCAACAATTGTATGATGAAGAAGCATACTTGTGCTTCATTACCCTCTTGAGTTCTTAAAGCTAAACAAAGTACAAGTCTATCAATGGTAACTATGTTGTATTTCCAAATCATATCGTTAATAGTGTCCACACATTTGTTAACATGCTGACCGCCTACGCTGTTAGCAAATTCAAATACAAGATAATCGCAGAATTTCCTAAGATGAGCCGATAGCGCTCTAGCGCCTATTCTCTCAAGAATTTTGTACGCAATAGGACTAATGCGATCAGTCTCGAGTATCATTTTCCATAGAAGGCACAGGAATAATGGTGGTGTACCAGGTACAGAGAAATGCGCGATGATGTCATTCTCATTGTTCATGGATGCCCAATTCCTGTATT